TGAACATTTGGGTGGCATTATGCAAATATTTCCATATAGTGTGGTAGATATGTGGGGGCGTGTTAGAATGAGCCGTTTTAGGGGGGCGTGGCAGAGTCTTAACTTTGATAAAGAATATCTCTTTGGTTTTGAGACTTTAGTCTTTGCAACTTCAGGGATCTTATCTATGCACAATCAGCTTGTAACACTCCAAAGAGAAAGGAAAACTTGAAATCGCATCATATGACCCCTTTAAATGTAGAATGATTCACTAATGAATCATTTTGACCAATTTTTGAATTGGTTCAATCTACTGATTTAAAAGAGTGATTCACTCACAAATGTTTGTAAACGACTTTTATTATTTATTTATCTCTTAAAAATTGATATTAAAACATCAATTAAATATTTTGTAGTTGAGCACAAACTTTAAGAATCTCAAATATATTCCATGAATTTTATTTTAAATTTAAAATGTTCATGAACAGATCTTCCATATTGTGACGTATATTCAAGTGTAATGGATTATATAAAAAAATAAATTTAGGGCAGGGACTTGGTTCTATCCATTGATTGTGACTGGATTTTGATGAATGTGAAATGAATGCAAGTATACAGTTGATTTTGGAGTGATGGTTAAAGTTGACAGTAGATACATTTCAAGTTCATGCTGACTTTAGTTTAAGATTTAATTCATTATGACTTCCAGGCATGTGTAGGTAAAGCACAATTTTAAGTTGTTTTGATATATACTATGATAACAAATACCATATTAATATTCCATGGTATTTACATGGTGCTCCAAAGAACTTCAAAGAATACCATGGTAAAATGTGTGTATTACGTGCATATAACAATTATGCATTGCAGTACAGCATCTTCAGTAGCATTTAAAATCTTGAGTGCATTTTTTATAATAACACCTCCTAAAACAATTTTTATTTCTATTCAATCTGTATTTTTATTTATTTGTAAGTGGGTGAAAGGAACCGACTACACAGCTTGGCCTTTTTAGTTTGGTCTATTCATTCATGAGCAGAGGACCAGAAATGACACATGGCTTGAGACCGATGAAGCTACTCTATATGCATGCTTCTTGGAACTGCCCTTCACACCTCTGTATCTCAGTGAGATGAGAGGTTGTCCATGCTCTGTGTTGAAGGATATGGCTTTGCTCCCCGACACCCATGACTGCAGCCGTGATAACTAAGCCAGCAGCTCTTACGAGACCTATTGATCCTGCCTGCTCAGGGGGAGAGAGCCAGAGAAAGAGATACAGAACTAGTCTGAATAAGATGAAAGAGGGACGGAGAGAAAAATATAGGAAGGAACAGAAGTGTAAGAAAGAAAAGATGCTATGACTGTTCTGTTTTTTTTCTTCTTCTGTTTAGATCTTTCAATTTTATTGCACAGTGAAGCTAGTGATATCAATTCAGCATTCAATTACTCAGCCAAACCTGCTTAATTTTCATGCTAGTCTAGTCTGGTGAGTTAGGGCAGATCGTACAGGTGAATTAGTTGAATGTAGTTGGGAAAGCTGATCTAAATTTGTGTTCACCAGTGGTCAAGTTATCTGTTTTACTGGAACAAATTACATCTCCGTGAGGCCTTACTTGGTGGTAAATAAGATGAATATGTGTGTGCGTCCCATGTGTGTGTTTGTTGGTGCATATTGACTCCATGCAGGCAGGCAGATGAAGACGACTGGAAAGGCTGATGGAGAACGACAGGAGCGGTGCCTACTGTCTCTTTCTACCGCTGCACCACAGCTAATGAAAATCAATACAGGCAGCAAGTGCATGCCTACACTGTTGCACACACATACTCACAACTTGGAGCACAGTTATACATTAAACATTCAGGCAAGCTGAATTTTGATCCCGATTTTATTTTACATAAAATCCTCCGCCAAATGCAGCTAATATTTAACAGTGGAACTCGATATTGTGGGTTTTAAAATGCGAACATGATGGCTTTGTTTACTGTAATTAAGTTAATGGACATGCTTTCAGGCACAGCTTAGAGACTTGGATTAGAGACTGTAAAGACGTTTATGAGCTCATTAGAAGTTTGTGTCTTTGCCACTGTGCAGTATTTCTCTCCTTCAATGTGTTCAGAGATGATGGATGGAGAGTGATGTGTGCGGATTTCTCCTGAATGATGTCACACCATGCCGAATATAGCTTGGGTGAATGACACTCCACTGTTATGGGTATCTGCGTGTGTGAGAGCAAGTGAGACATTGAGAACAATCATGGCTTCTTCTCTCACAGCAGCACACACCTCTGACATTCCTGACGGACATGTTTACCATTTCAGCCGGAGAAGGGAAATGACATCATTAATGGATATTGGTTCATAGGTAGACATATACATACAGTTGGGGCTAAATATATCAGCACTTTAGCTGCAAATCATGCAGTATGTGTGCAACATTCTATAATGCAAGATCGTTTTAAAAAATAACAATTTGGTAACCACACACACACACACAGCCAGTCAAAAGCTTAGACACACTTGACTGAATTGGTTTCTCAAAATCTGTTGATCTAAGGCATATGTTTAAATTTACAAGTTTTATTTGTAGACAGAACACACAAAATATTTAATAATTATGATGCCTCATGCAGTTTTTGGTCACTAATTTATTCCCATACATCCATTTAGAATTAGAATATTCTGTGTAAAATAATCAAATAAGAAAATAAGTGTCTCCAAATTTTGGCATGCAGACAAACAGTTTAGTCCAATTCACAAACAAATGACTGTTTTGAGTCGGTTCTTCTAATGAATGAATCATTATGCAAATATAGTAATACAAATATTTTTTTAATAAAGTTATGATAAATACAATTATGGTCACACATTTATTTATTTATTTGAAAGAAATGAATACTTTTATTCAGCCAGGATGCATTGAATGATTTCTGAAGGACCATTAAAAATTCAACTTTGCCGTCACAGGAATAAATTACATTTAAAATGCATTAAAATAGAAAACTTATTTTAAATTGTAATATTTACAATATCACTTTTTTATTATTTTATTTAAATGCATATACATGTGTAATTTTGAAAAAACTCATGTGGATACCAAAAGAAACAGTTTTACATTACATTTTTTTTGCAGAAGATTTTTGGCCAGAACTATACACATCCCAAAAGTTGATTCTTTTTTTTATTAGGAGATGAAATCATCTGCATTTCTTGGCAAGGCTAAAAGACACAAACTCACAGGGTCAGTTTCCAAAACATAGCTCACACCCCAGACCACAAGATGTTTTCAGCAGAGAAATCAACATTAACAACAATTTAAACCAGGACTTATTTAATCTGTGATTTATTAATCCCATTCAATCATTCTGCTAGTAAATGAATAAGCAGTCACATGAGACGCAGAGAACGATGGAGAATCGATCCTGTTCTATGATGTAAGATATGATGACTGGCACTTCAAAACATGTTAGCAAGAGGCCAAACAGCAATTAACTACTGTCATCCAAGACCTCCCCATCACAACTATCACATCTTTCTAGCACAGCCAATCATACATTTTCAGCAGACGGCTTCATGACTTTTTCTTTACCTCAATGATGTCATGTGAATTAAATCGGCTGTGTTTTTCTCCTCTCTAAGAGTGATGTGCTATACTCATTTTTTCGGGATTGCGACCTCATCTTTCACTCATCGGTCTGTTCCTCTTTACTACCGCACCTCTTTCCTTCCTATTCACTTTCTTCTGTCTTTCTCGAGTGCATCATCAAAAGAGTGCATGTAAAGTGCAGGGCTGTTGTGGAGGAAACACACTCCTTTGTTCTCTCGCATGTGATGTGCAAAAAAAAAAAGACTAATGTCAAACTCTCTTAGCTCTCGGTTCCTATCTCTCACTATGGGAGAACTAATAGTCTAGTATCAGTGAGCTGTTCCACCTAAATGCTCAAAAAGGTAATGACAACTCATTGTGCAAACAGGCTCCAACTAAATTACACCTTGTGAAAGCAGCCTGATATGGCCTCTATTAACAACAAATCGCCAGTGACACGGAGCAGGATAAGAGGCAGGAGACACACAGGCTTGTTAAGACTCTCAGATGAGGATTCGAAATGACATTTTTCTTCCAGAGTTCACTGTCTTTTTAGGTGTTCTTTGCACTATGTGAGGATTTGTTTTCAACATGTACCTGGATCTACATCCTATCAACCAATCAGATTTCAAAAATAGGCAAAGAGTTGAACAACATTAAACTTTCATCCAGTTAGGATTCAGGAACATGTTGATACTACACTCTTAAAAACAGTTTCTTTATTGCCATTGATGGTTCCATAAAGAACATCCATGGAATCTTTCCATTACACAATCTCAAGAACATTTTTCTGGAAACCTTTTATTAAAATGTTCTTCACACTTAGAAAAGAACAGTTGTTTCAATAACTGTTCACTGAAAGGTTCTTTGGGGAACCAAAAATGGTCCTTCTATGGCATCTACACTCTTAAAAATAAAGTTCTCAAAAGGTTTTCATAGTGATGCCACTGAAGAACCTTTTAGTGAACATTTCTTAAAAGAACCACTATAAAGAAACACTTGTGCAACGAAAAAATTCCATATATGTTAAAGGTTCTTCATGGAACCTTAGATGCCAATAAAAAAACTTTAGTTTTTTTTGTGTACTTGAGCTTGTCCCACTCCCAATGCCGTGAAAACTTCAAACTACCCATGAATATGCATGCGTACGTGTGCTTTTGTGAACTGATTTCCATTGTTTTGGGGAATTCATACTTATCTTCACATCTTATAACCAGGATCTTAGGCAACTTTTTAAAAACTATTTTAATGGCTGTTATGGAAATATGAGGCCTCTACGGGTCCAAGATTTTGTTCCAGAGCTGCACTTGATTTATCAACTCAATGCCATAAAATGTGATTACATAACAAGAACAATTGCGTCTTAGAACAGCTTTAATGTTTGTGTAGCACACATTTAGGTAAGAAAGCAGAGCTCACCTCTTTCATCTTGGCAGCACTGAAGGTCGGTGTGAGGATGCTGCGCACTCGTTTCCACTGTTCGCCCTTCAGCATGATCAGACTGTCGCTCATGGGTTTAGTCATGCCCCTGCCAGTCTGCATCGAGAACACAGTTGAGGTTTGTACACTCCGAAAAGGACATGTTTATATAAGGACAAGATTAGGACTAAATCTAAAGCATTCTACCGGTTTGTCATTTACCTAGTATTGTGCAGTAGGCTATAACTATGAAATCCGTAGCATTTTTAGGCAAGATGCCATTCGTAATGCAACACAAGTATACTGCATTCTCAGCATTGCCACAAGAGGAGCTATAGCAAGCCATAGCATTAGTCTTCAGATGAGGTCACATTTACCATTGTTTGGTGACTTTTTGTAGGAGAAATACAATCATTTTAATAGGAATCCAGTATCGTGTAGTAGGCTATAACTATGATATTAGTAGCAGTAGCAGTGGTGATTGTTGGGCCCAAAACATACGCTACACAACTATGTGCTACACAACACATACAACTATGTGTGTTAGCACTTACCCTTATGAAACCTTGATATCACACGTCGAGTTTTTAAAACGTGTCAGAATGCAATTCATAAGGCAACGCAAGTATATTGCATTTTCAGCATTGCCACAGGAGGTGTTATAACAGACATTAGACTTTAGGTGAGGTCACATGTGCCATTGTTTGGCAAAATCCAATAAATTTAATTGGAATCCATGCGATTGTGAATTTAGCGTGATTGTGAAAGTTCAGCTTTTCCCAGATTTCAGTTTGGTCACATGGATTCGCCATGTTGACCAAAAAAAAGCTTCTTGTTTTGAAAGCGACTTCTGTGTTTGCTGTGCTTGATACATTACTATTAAAAACAGACAATGGACCTTTTTTTGCCCACAAAATTTCACTGTGCTCGCACCTTTCTGCGGTTTTCTATAGGTTTTCTCATTCAGACCAACGACTATCCGTAGTTTGAAGTAATTACTGGCAACATTTCAAAGAAAACAAGTTTACTCCAGTTTGATTTCAGATATTGCTTTTCAAAATGAGTTAAAAAAAAAATCATAATGCAACATGTACACGTAGCTATAGCTACACTTAAAAGTTTAATGGCACAGATTTTTAAAGTTGGTTTTTGCTATAGTAATGCAAAAATATTCAATCTGCTCGTAAGCATTCGCATCTGCATCTCCATACTTGCATAGAGAATGTTTCAGGCTTAATAGATGAACCACAGCAAAGTGTAAAGAACTTTCTCAGACTCTAAACTGTCGGAAAGTGTTTAAAAAGCTCTACATGGTTTCGTCTTTGCAATTCTACATAAATAATAGTCCTGGATTCATTAAAACTACTGTTGTACTGTACACAGAGTTGGCTAAGCATAGGTTGTTAGCCTGAAAGTTAGTGCAGCAACCAAGGCCAGGTGGCAGAGCTTTGTGCTTGGCCGACTTTGATCTCGTGTGTAGATATTTGTGCTAACGGTTGCCAACACATACCGTTTGTTTTTTGGTGCCTTGGCAATCTCCTTTTACGAGTTTTCTCCCACTGTTGGTTGTAGATGTGCTTTACGTTGTACATTTTAAAAGTACATTTCCATGCACACAAACGGGTCAAGAGGTAGTTGATAAACCCCAGTGGTGCACAAGGCCTCAGTATTGATCTGGCCCTGCCATAATCGTTTACCCAGCAGGCTCAGCTCCAG